CGAATTGTTTTAGCCTAGGAAAACTCTAGAAGTGTATTCCTTTTTCTTTCCAAGTTAAGCTTACCAAACCTAGGTTAAGTTCAATCCATTCGGTCCATACCCTTTTTTTCTTTCTTTCTTTTTTCCTTTCTAACCCATCCACACATTTAAACCTATCAAACAAGCTTTGCATGACAACAAAACACATAAATCCATCACAATTTAGCAAGCCCCAACACCAACACAAACAACCATAGCAATTCATAGAAAAATTATTACAAACCCATGAAATAAACACTAAAAAAAAAATAACTTAAGACATTAATCAATCAAAAATGAAACCTACTTACCTTGCTTGAATTTCCTAAAGGTTGGTTAGGCTTTCTCCTTCTTTCTTTTCCTTCTTTTTCTTTTCCTCTTCCTCTTCCTCTCTTGTTTACGGTTTTTCTCTCCCAATTTTGGTGGCTCCAATTGCCTAAAAATTTCTTATCATTTGCATTCTTTCTATATATATATATACATGCTTAAAGTCTTGGTCTAAGTAAGTGTACAAATGGCTGGATTTAATTTGGAAGAGTGAAAAGTTAATAGTGAGTCATGAGAGAGAGGTGGCAGATTTGAGACAAAAATTGGCGAGTTGGCTATTAATTCATTTAATGCATTACTTAGGTGTCTACTAAAATTTTTAGGTTAAATATACACCCTAATTAACTTGATTTAAGTAAATAAACATAATTTCCTTCATGAAATTTTGAAAATTTCTTTTCTTAAAACTTGAAAATTCCTTGTCTATTCTTTTCCCAAGAATTCCAGCAGTGATGCTTCAAGACCAATCTACATTAAAATGGCCATAACTCTTTATATATAGGTCTAAAAATCACGAAATGTTATAGAGTGATATTAGATATATAGACGAACAACTTTTGTTCTTTAAGTTTTACATAGAAACTACTCTAAAGTTCTCAAATAAATCACACAAAATTCGGACAGAAAGTAGTCCTCGGGACACCGATTTTGATATATATATATATAATCACTCTAAAGTCCTCAAATAAATCACATAAAATTTTCTCAAGCAAACTGATTTTGATATATATATATATATATATTGTGGGGGTTACATTACAAATGAAACAAAACTGATTGTTAATGATAAGTATTTGAAATTTGTTGTTTTTATAGTAAAAATTATATTGAGCAAATCGATTTTAAAATATATTATGAGTTAGGAAAACAATTTGTGAATTTTCAACCCCTTCTACAATCCATATCCATATGAAAAATTAAAAAAAAAATCTAAAAAGTTATTATAAAAAACCTGAGCTGGCATTGTTGATTTATCAGTAGCAATGCCTAGCTTTATTTTTATTTTTATTTTTTGTCCGGCCTCCTTTTTTTCTTATTTTTTAAGGGTTGGGTCACTGGAACTTCACTTTATAATTTCTCTTTTTTTTTCTTTTTTTTTTTTTTTTTTTTTTTTTTTTTGCTTTTAGTTTTTAGTTTCTATATGTTCTCGGATTGTAATTGTTCCCTTGCTATATAAATAATTTATTTTTATTTTTTTATCATGAAATTAGGTGTGAAAATATATTAAAAAAATGTTTTTTTTTGTTTTACGTACAGTTTGATAGTAATAGAATATATATAATATTTTTTAAAATTTTAGTTTGAACATATATATCTTATTATATTAACTATTTTATTATTTAAAATTTATTTCTTCAATTGTTTGTTTCTTATTAAAATTCTCATCGAATTAATTTTTAAATTTTATATAATTTTATTTGTCGATAAATTTGATTTTTTTAATATATGGCATTTTAAATAAAATTTTAGATAATGATTGATTTAATTTTTAAAATATATTATTATAATTTATACGATTGATTATTTTTATAATTTTTCAATGAAAATGGCATTGTTACATATATAAATTCCGATGTGAGAGAGAGAGAGAGATAAAAATGTATTTTAAATAATTTGACTTAATTTTTTTAAAAAATAACTTGCCTTGGTTTTTTTTAAAAAATTAATAATTAGTTAAAAAAATTAACAAGTTTTATTTGGTTATATATATATATATATATATATAATCAAAATTTATCGAAACCAAATTTATAGTAGTTTTTATTTAAATCTATTCACTTCAATATATTCCATGCAATTTAACCGAGTTTTTTTTATATATATTTTTATTTATTTTATATATTCTGAGTTTTCTAAGTATGATATGTGTGTGTGTGTGTGTAAAGAGTTTTGTCATATATATAAATTCGATGAGGGAGGGAGAGAGAGAGCTAAAAGTATGCTTTAGATAATTTAACTTGATTTTTTTGCTAAATAATAATCAATTAAAAAACATTCAGCTCAATTTTTTTTTAAAATAATAATTAGTTAAAAAAATTTACGGGTTTTATTTGGTTATATATATATCAAAATTTATCGAAATCAGCTTTTACAGCAGTTTTTATTTAAATCTATTTACTTTGATATATTACATTCGATTTATGTGGGTTTTTTTATATATTTATTTATTTATTTATTTTATATACTCTAAATCTGCTTAGTAATACATATAGTTTTATTAGAAATTAACTATATTTGCACATATAACACAAATTATTTGTTATTTATTTTTTTCGTGTTCTAAAATCTTTATTTTTAAATAAAATAATTTAATTAATGTTTTGAAAGAATTTCTTAATTATTCAAATATAAATGTTTTATACTAATATTATAAATTATTTTTTTAATAAATATATATAAATCAAATAAGTTCGTTAAATATATAGATTTGTATTCCTAGATCCCAACATAGAATAATTGCAACTTTTTTTTAAAGGAAATTATTGTTAAAAAGAAATTGAAAGAAAACAAAAGATTATGTTTTTGCCTCGCATAATCAAAGAGAAAGAGTGTGCATCAAATGGTAATGGTTAAGAAAATTTGATTTCTTTCCCATCTTTTTGTATTCAAATCTTGAGTCCGTGTTAAAAAGAATTTGTTATTTATTTTTTTAATGTATCAAATCAATGTGGTAAACCGCTTTTAAAATAGTTCGAAAAAACTTAATTTTAATTAATGAGTAAAAATTAAGAGAAGAAAAAAAGATAGTACGAAAAACAAAAGAACCTTTGGTTAGGCTTTTATGGCAAAGGGAAAAGTTCAAATTTTTTGAAACTATAGATATAAAATTTGGAAATCAAAACTATGAGAGTAGATGTGAAACATTGAAGAATTTCTACTACACAAAATATAATCAATCCTAAAAAACAAAAATAGCAGCTTGTCATATATAAACTGGGCTCTGGTTACAAATGAACAAAATAATAAAACCCATAAAAGACCTATTATAGGTGGAGAATACAAGGAAAATTGCTTGTTTGAAGTGGAGCAAAAGATAAACTCAGCCTAAATTACTTATATCCCAATGTAGAGTAATTGGCCTTTTTTTTTTCAAAGCAAATTATTGGTAAAAGGAAATTGAAAGAAAACATAAAATTTGATTATTTGAAATCTAAAACTTTTAAGATGATTGAACTCAATCTTGAATTGTTTGTGTGCTCATTCATTCCTTTCTTCTTCTTCTTCTTTGTTTATATATATATATATATATATATATACATCTTTTTATATATTTATTTACAGATATGAGGTATGCTCAATCATTTTTCACATAAATCAAAATTGAGTCTATCATTTTTCGGACTAAACTAGCATTAGAATAAGCTAGTTTTTGATCGATCACTAGACTACTTCTTAGAACAAACCAATACAAGTTTGATATATACTACTAAAAAACAATAATAACTAGTTATATGTAGATAGTAGAAATTAAACATTGGTATTAACCGAACCAAAACAACCCCTTACTGCTAGAGCAAATTCCTTAATAATTTTTATACTAAAATAAAAGTATCTTTATTTTTTTGAGAGTAATTGAAGTAATATTTGAATTAGTTTTTACGTATTGAAATTATATCCCTTCCAAAACTATTACGCTAGTTAGTAATCAGTTTTAAAAAAAAAAAAATCAAAATTATCCAGCATATGTCATTCTTGAGAAATTAATGGGTTATATGTTATCCTTAAAAAAAAACTCGTATTAATATAGTAAATTAAAATTTATTTTTTTCGAGAAACTTATTAATTAATCTTTTTATTTAAAAATGAATCTTTTGGACCATTAATAAGTATTGATCATGCTTAATTTAATTAATATTATTTTATTTTAAAAAATATCATCTTTTTTCAAACTGTTTTTTTTTTTACTTATTTTTTCTATTTCTTAAAATAAAAATAAAAATAATAAATTATTAAATTACAAGAAAATGTAAAAATGATATGATACAAAGAATTAATTTTAAAAAATAATTAATTCGTTTTACAAAACTAGTTTAATTTATAATTTAGCTGGTATCGATATATGGTTGTAATATCAATATCGTGGAAAAATTAAAATACAAATTAGAGTGCGTCATTCGTAAAATGTGTTGAAGTTGCTCATGAACCAAAGTAACAACGCCTAGAAGAAAGGCATGTGATTGATTCATAACACAAGGCAAACCGCTTTTTTGAAACCCAAAATAAAATAAAAAAACAAAACCCGTCTTACTTAGATTTTAGCCCAGATTCATAAAATGTATTGTAATTATTCAAATTTATTCTTCCAATTCCACTTTGGTCCTCACAGTTACTTAATTTTGGATTTATTAATTCACTTTAGTCCTTAGCTAGCCACTTATACTTAATATTGCCACTACACTTTGATCCCTACCAGCCGCTGAATATTGAATTTGTCAATTTATTTTAGTCCTTAATCAACCACTCATTTAAATTTATCCGAACTAAACCGAGCTCAGCTCACTACAAATATTTATCTCTCTCTGTCTTTTCCATTTTTTTTTTTTTTTTATATAGCCTGGAAGGGAAAAAACCTAAAAAATTGATGGAAGGAAGGCAGAATTGGAATGCAGAGGACTGAAAGAAAGCCCAGATAAAGTTGCAAATCAAGAAACAAAATGTTCCAAGCCCAGTAAGGAAGGAACAAGTTAGTAAACCCTGAAAAGCCCAAAATAAAAACAAAAACCTGGCCCATTCTACTTTTTTCCTTTTCCTTTTTAATGTTAATCAAGAGCAAATCTGTCTCGTTCTTCTGCCTTCCATTAAAAATGGCAACTATTCGCATTTTCATTCTGCATTTATCTACTTACTACCACAGTTTCTTCCTCTACTATTTTGCATCTTTAGCTGTACAACACAGGTGAATATACCAGGAAAGGTTCACACCTGATCTTGGCAAGGGGGAAAAAAAACCTTAAAGCTTAGCTGCGTGAGGATATATGGTAATGGATGGAAGGAGCAAAATGGAAGACACAAAGAGTGGCAGAGAACATTCCCAAGTATTAAATTGAGGACATCAGATAGATATTTTCTTCATGTTTCCCCTACGTAAATACAGCACACTTTCATTAAGAAAGAACCCAGATTGCATTGCGAAATATGGAGAAACGTAGAAGTAGCAACAAGGAGAGGATGAATCGATGAAAAATATGCAGCAGTAGAAACAAAGCTTTTGGTAAAAGAAGACTCGAAAGAACTCAAAGAAGCAGTGGAAGAGAAAGAGGTAGGTGCTTGCATCCCACACCGTAACTTCTTCTTGATTAGTCTACTATCTTATTAAGAGAAATATCTCAAGGAGCACATGGTCATAAAACAAACAAAATAAATGATAAATATCGATCGATCACACTGTCCACAACTAAATGACATAGCAAAGTACTCACAATCAATCCTCATTCCAGATCAAGCTGTGCAGATTACTCTAATTTGAAAGGGAAGCAGGCAGCATGTAAGAGAGTAAAACAGACTGTGCCGACAGTTTCCGACCCTTCTAAGAAATTTAGGGTGGAAAACTGTCTTCCCTTTATCTTATCTTATCTAGAAGATCATGCAAGGTTAATGTTGGTTCAGGCACCAAACCAAGAAGGAGAAGTCACCGTTAGCATACTAAATAAATTCTCAATAAATCACGAGGCTTGCAATCAGCCTTCAACTGAATGTTACAGCATTCTTTTGAAAAGGTTCTCATGTTCAGATGAAGGCTCGTTGCAATCAAAATGATGGTCTGCGCATTTAATTATTGTGCTAAAGACGGTTTTTGCGTCCGTGCTTGGCTTGTTATTCATCATTAGGGATTTATTGGCTGCTGATGCCTCCTTTATTGGGGTCAACTCCTTGGGTTTAGAGGTCATAGGCTTGACAGTCTGGTTGGGTTCGGGTTCAGGGTTCATATTCGGATCATGATTAAAGCTTGAGGAAAGACAAACTATATCCTTCGATCATGATTAACATGTTACTTTTGTTTTTGTTGGTTTCACTATGTATTTAATAATTAGATGTTAATGGCATGGATTTATATATGCAGTGTTATAATTGACTGTGTTCTTCCATAGGATTTAATGATTGCATTCGTAACCACAGATTTTACTTTCCTATATTTTTTTTCGCACAGGGATAATGTTGCTGCTGCTGCTGCTGCTGGTGATGAACAAAAAGATTCTAAGACTTCGAAGAAGTCCAAGAAGAAGAAGACGCGCCAACAAGAGAAGAAATGTGAATTAAGCTGATGATAAATCGGTAAAGAGTGAGAAGAAGGAAGAGGATTATAGAAATGTAATGACTCGAGCAGAGTATGAAAAGGAGCTCGAGAAGAGGAAGGCTGAGGATTTTGAGTTGATGCAACTTTGGAAGAAAGAGGCTGAGGATGATTGTCTATTCATAAAGGTGGTAAGTAAACATGTCAAGAAGTCTTCTGGCTCGTGGTCGTGAACAATCAAGGGAGACGTCCTTCTCTGGTCGAGAAGATAGTAGGCCTAATAGTAATCGTTTGTTCAATGGAGAGTCCCAATGATGCACCACAGCAAGAGGCCCAAATGCATAATGGTGGCTCTCAGCGGGAGGGCGAAAAGGATAATGGTGATTCTCGACATCAGGGTGAGAGACCCAATGGTGGGTAGAGGCACGAGAGTTGGAGACCTAACGGTGGCTCTCAGCGACAGGGTGAAAGGCCTAATAGTGCACCACACTCAGCGAAAACTTACAAGAAAGAAGTAAATACCATTGATTTAAAAACTCATGCATAAAATTCAGATATCAAATTATTACAATCTGTTGAACTGCAATCAAATGCTAGAAAATAAACTTTAAATTCTATTGATTCAAAAAATATCGAAAATAATATATGATAAAATTGAAATACTCTCTCATAAAATTTTATTAACAAAAAAAAATTACGATTTTTTAACCTTCAAGTCATATATAAATAGAAAATTCAATCAAAGCCCTAAACCAACTAAAAAAGAAAACAAATAGAAAAATCTAAAAAATAAGAAAAAATTCCAAAAAGTCAATTTTGAGAGTCTAAATAGTTTTTTTTTTTTTACAAAAATTATGTTTATCTCATGACAAAGCGATGAGTTTAACTTGTTGAATTGTTTAACATCGAATAAGACTTAAGAAACCTCAAAACTAAGTCAATAATTTTTTTCAACTTCTGTTATGCTCGTATTGCTCAATAAATTTTAAGAACTATCCGTCCGCATCAAGTTCATTAATGGAGAAAGATCGACCAGCTGGTGCCCATTGATACGAGGGAGAAACAACCTAGGCGTGAGAGCTGGAGGCCGAATGCTGGCCAGAGGTTTAATGGGGAAAGACCCGGGAATGTCAATGGTGGCCGCCGGTATGATGGGGAGGGGCCTAATTAATAGCAATGGTCATGTAGATAAGGGCAAGAAGCCTATATTGGCTTAACCTTCGGCTCCATTTCTATCTGTTTTCATCCTTTTAAGGATACTTTTGCCTGAATAAAACAATGTAGCATGTTGAATCTGACCAAAGATTTTTATGCCCACATGTTTCTGATCAAGCTCCTAGGATAATGTTAGAAAAAAAGAAAAAAGAAAAAGAAAAAAAAGTGCACTATAATTTGAACATCTACAACGGACAGACAATCAAATGGTCAAAATTTAACTTTCGTGAATTAAAGATTTCATCGGTAAGAACATTTTGAAAATCTATTACTATCAACTCACCTAAAAAAAAAAATCATGTATTGAATGTGAAACTCATGTATGAAATAAACCGATTTCCTTACTAAATCTTATAAACCAAATAATATTTCAAAATTATATCGGATTGACGACTGCCTGCCGAACCACCAAATTAGCATCATTGAAATCTTTTCTAAAAATTTCTTAAGTTATTTATAAATAAAGTTATAAAAAGAATATTTTTAATTCGCTAGTTTAGGGGTTCCATTCTTAGAAAATTTAGTTTTTAAAATCAATAAAAAATTAAGTGTTATTCACTAACCTAGTAAAAAAAAGTTTATCTTATTAATGGATTAAAAAAATTGACTGAAAATATTTTACTATTTTTAAAAAATAATGTTAAATTCATCAACTAAATTATTATTGTAATCATTTTTTTAAAAAATAATTATCAATACATCGCTTGTTAGTTATCAATAAATATATATAACAAATATTGATGGATAGTGAATTAGTAATTTAAAAAAAAAAGATAAAAATAACTATTTAATTAGTAAATTTAACAGTATTTATTTTTAAATATTAAAAAAATCCAAATTAAAGCAAACATTATAGAAATCGATGTGCCCAAAAAGGAGGTCCCTTTGTCAAAAGAAAACCATGGGTCCCCTGCTAAACGGCAAGATCATTCAAGAAAAAGAATCAAAACGTTAGCCTACAAAAAATCTTTGACATTATTACACAAATTTGTCCAAAAACAGACAAAAACTTCTGAATAAAATCTCACTCTCATTTCACACTCTTTTGATTTTCTTTCCTTCCTTCCTTCTTTCTTTCTTTCTTTCTCTCAACGTTATGAACATGAACCCATCTCGCAATTTCAGCTACTTGTCTTCCTCCACCACAACAGTCACTTACTCTTTTCATAATGATCACACTACCCCCAAGCAAACCATTGAAATCCCCATCAAGTCTCCCTCCCCCAAATCTACTGTCCAATCAGTCACTGCCACTTCTGCTGCCACCAAGATTCAATCTTGTTACAGGGCACACATGATCCGAACCCTTTATAAGAAAATCTCAACGGTTAGTTCTGAAGCTGATCAGTTACAAAACCAAATCCAACGGCAAGAAACAGTGGATGCAATAAGAAGCAGTGAGAAAGAAAAGCTGAGGATGAATGAGGCCTTGATGGGTTTGCTTCTAAGGCTTGATTCTGTACCTGGGGTTGATCCAACGGTGAGAGAAGCAAGAAGGAAAGTCAGCCGTAGGATTGTGGGGTTGCAGGAAATCTTGGACTCAATATGTGAAGCAAAGGTTGGTGCTTTTGATGGTGGTGACTACTGTGGGTGGCAGTGGGATCCACATGGTGGATCATGGGATATGGTGTTGGAGGAGATGGAGGAAAAGGTTTGTATGGAAAGAGGTGGTGAAGAAATGGAGAAGTTTTGTGCTCAATATCTTGGGTTTAGATGCTTGCAGAGGTTTTTGAGAGAACCATGACAGAAAGATTGGATGTTTTGATCTTTGTGTGTTAAAAGATCAAAACTTTTTTTTTCTTTTTTGTTTGTCGAAGTGATGAATGTATATTGTTTTGTTTATTCGTTGATTGAAAATATTTGAATGTGATTATGCTAAAAAAGGAAAAAAATCAAATGTTAATTAACATTAATTAAATGGTCAAATGATACGAAAACGATTTCTTTATAATTTCCTTCCGTTTTTTTGACTGGCTACAATTTCTTTATACAAAACGAATACGATAACGATTGCCATGTTTAGTGTATTCTATTGACGTCTAAATTATTGAATTCAGACGCAAAAGTCTGTTTACAGCAACAAAATGACTTCGTTACCAAAAGCGTGAAAGAGCCACCGACAAAAACAGGGGATTTCTCGGTGTCAATAAAGTTAATACGACAAGGATGCTCACTTGTGGCGACGAAGTATCGGTGGCTTTTGGCAGTGTCGTAATTAACCGGGAAAAAGGAATAAAATAAACAACATATTTCTGTCTTTACCAAAAAAAAAAAAACCTATTTTTCTTTCTCGACTTTCTGCTCAGAAATCAAATGAACTCCCAATGGAGAGACAAAAGACTGTATCCATTCCTAGGAATACTCTTGCTACTCTCTCTGCTTTACCTTAACTTCAACAACAGTGACAACAACTACTTTAGTTTCCCAATCTTATTATGGCAACCCAAGATGGGGTTTGTCTCAACCAACTCCACACAATTCGTCATCATCAATGATGGTGGTGGTGGTGATGATGGTCATGGGGAGTCAGCATTTTACGTTAATGGGTGGAATTCATATTGGTTGATGATGGAGAGTGTGTGGAGTTCATCAAGATCAAAGGCTTCTGAGATGCTTAAGAGAGGGGCTCAAATGGGGTTGACTGTTTGCAGGACTTGGGCTTTCAGTGATGGTTTTGGTCCTGATGCTTTGCAGGTTTCTCCTGGTGTCTTCAATGAGAGAGTCTTCAGGGTAAGTTCGAAACTTTTCTTTCCCTGTAAATAAGAAAGTTGTTTTTTATTTTTTAGGTTGTAAAATTAGAGATTTTTGCTTTCAATTGACTGTCAAATCCTGAAGGAGAGGTTAAGACTAACGAACAGCCTTATTAAAGGCTGATGGGCTTTTCAAATGAAATGAAAAGGAAGAATCTTTAAGCAGTTTTGGTTCCTATTTGTGTTTAATGGAGGTATTTATCTGCAGGGATTAGACTATGTGATAATTGAAGCAAGGAGGAATCATATAAGGTTAATTCTCAGTCTAGTGAATAATCTGATTGCATTTGGTGGAAAAAATCAGTATGTTAAGTGGGCAAAAGAAGCTGGAATTAATGTTTCTTCATCAGATGACTCATTCTTTTCAAATCCAGTTATCAAAGATTACTACAAGGCTTATATCAAGGTGAGATGGTATTTTTCCATCAATTGATTATCTGAGGAACTGGCAATTGATAGTAGGAAGATTTTGACTTACAAGCATTATATGATTGTGAAATGAACCAAGAGTATTGTATGTGGCTGAGTGTTGTGATAACTCAATTTGTTTAAAATTGAACTTAAGCTGGTCTGGTATAACTTACCATCTGAAATTTGGTTGTGCATAATCTGCTACATCAATATAGGCTAAGTTACTGCTACATTAGTTAGTTAGAGTAACGAAGTTTCACAAGAACTGACATTCAAGATTGGGATACTTGTCTATCTGTGCTTCTCTTCTGCATTTTGATAGTCTTATGGCTGAAAATTTCTGTTATGCACTTTCCAGGCAATTGTGAATAGAAAAATTCATATAGTGGAGTTAGGTACTCTGAGGAACCGGCAATTTTCGCTTGGGAGCTCATGAATGAGCCTCGGTGTGCATCCAGTTCTTCTGCTTCTGTTCTTCAGGTCAACCATTGAATTTTCATTCTGCTGTATATTTTGGCATTGAATTTCAAAAATAAACTAAAGAATCAGGCTAGAATCTGGAGAGAGAGGTGAAGGTGCTGTTTGATGGAAGCATTTTAAGCCAAATATCATTTTGTTTAGGTCTCTGTGATTGTGGGGTGGTGTGTTCTGTCTATTATTTTATAATATCAAAAGGATGTTTTTGTTCTGTTATTGGTTAAGCAAATTTTCTGGTTTACTTTTGAATCAGATGTGATTGAGGTCATTTTAGTGCTTTGTCTTTGGTTTAAGGCATGGATCGTTGAGATGGCTGCATATATCAAAAGCTTGGACAAAAAACACCTAGTGACTGTTGGACTTGAGGGGTTTTATGGCCTGAATACAACTAACAAGTCAGACGTGAATCCTGGGATTTGGGCAGCATCACTGGGATCAGACTTCATACCGGATTCAGCAATAAACAACATTGATTTTGCGTCAGTTCATGCATACCCTGATAGCTGGTTAGTAATTCATTTTGAGCATACAGATTAGGGTCCAGTAATAACGGTGAGCTACATATAAGAATGGTTCACTGCACTCATCTATTATAATGCGGTGGTAGGACCAAAAAACCTAGGCTGATGTGAAAATCAACATTAAGATTGAAATAAAGAATCAGTGTCAAACATTTGAATATTATTGGTTTTGTATAGAAGCAATAGTGCAGTTCCTACGAGTTTGGCTCCATACTGTCTAAAAGTTGCTACCTATAGCAGCCTAGATGTTAAATTGATCTGTGACACCCAGTTGATTGAAGCCCAGAGTAAACAAATCATTTAATTGTTTGCTTTTATGAATTCTTGATGGATATATACTGATATCTCGTCACACCATGTGCAAATTGTAGGATTCCACATGCTGATCTGGAAGCAAAAACAAATCATCTTTCCAATTGGGTGGATTCTCATGTAAGTGATGGAGACTTAGTGCTGAGGAAACCAGTTCTTTTCACAGAAGTCGGCTCAAGATGGCATGTGGATGAGAAGGGAGTAAATGACAGAGATGTTTTGTTGAAAATTGTCTATGATAAAATTTATGAATCTGCAAAGAAGAGGCGGGCTGGTGCTGGTGCCTTAATCTGGCAGTTGTTAGTTGAAGATGTGGATAGATACAGTGATCAGTTTTCTTTCATACCACAGGATTATCCTTCTACCTATAAACTGATAAAAGAACACTCATGTAGGCTTCAAAGAATTTCTGCAAAATACAATAGAGCTAGAAAGCCTGAACGAGTGGATCCAGTTGCTTCAGTTGCTTGTAAATGAGAGGAAACCGAACAGGGCGAATAGTAGAGTTTTAGGTGGGAGGCAGTCCAAGAGTTGATACGATTCTTTGAAGGCTCAAAGTATCATGCTCAAAATGGAAGAATGAAAAGAAAAGAGAAACAAGAAATCTACAACTTATTCAGGCTTAATCAATTCTACTCAAATTCAAGGCCAGAAGGTTATCTCATTGTTTTAAGATTTGAACATATTGAACGTAGAGCTGGCATGGGCACTTGTGTGATTGACTGAGTTCCCCTGGGAAATGCTCTTTTAATGGTGTAAATTACCTGCAACTTTGTGCAATTTATTGTTGTGATATAAGTATTGTGTCATAAAATGTAAATCTGATTTATTCCAAAAGTGTATTGCAATCTGCTTGATGCAACTATCTCTTCCCTGCCCAAGGTTTATGCTTAATCATTTCCTGTGATGAATGTCTTCTGGTAAGGGTCATGGGTTACATTTTTTCTTCATGGTCCATTTTTATGTTGTTTTCATTCATTAAGAGACTTGTTAGGCTATTGGTGGCAAAACTGAGAGGTAGCAATTCTCCTCGTTGATCCCTCTAATTTCTGATGTAAGCAAGATTCACCTCTGCAAATTATTAGTTTTTCTTCTTCTTTTATGAGCGGTACTGGTTTATCTGTAATACTACAACCATGCAACTTGAATTGCTAATATAAATACAGATCATAATCACAGCAAAACAATTCCTCAGCAAATATAAAAAATATATTCATACAGTCAAAATCTGCATTCATACTAGCAAAGCTATCAGCATCATAGTTATAAATTGTGGACAGTTGAAAAAATAGTTACGGTCATCATTGCGGATCGCGGCTTACTATAATACTAAAATAACGGTAACTATATGTTTCGAAATTATTACATAATGGTCGTTATATAACATACCGGTCATTATTTAAAACTACGATCAACATGCTGGAATAGATGCCATTGCCACACAGCTGCAATTGCGAAGTAGCAAATTCTGTTTTCCAAGATTTGCTTGGTTGAAATGCCCTCTATGACAAGTGAAAATGGTTTTGAACTTTTGAGAGTGCTTTGATCAAATTATGCATGGTTGGCCGAGAGTTAGGATTGACCTTGAGGCATGAAAGTGCTTGCATCACTACAGACACCACTTCTTTTTCAATACCTTGCACTGCGGGAGAGGGCAGACGTGGATCTAACAGTTCCTGTATCTCCATTCCTTGTTGATCAGTAGATGATTGCAGAGAGGAAATAAGCTCCTCTGGATGCTTTCCCATCACCATTTCAAGAGCTAGAACACCAAAGCTATAGACATCACATTTTTCAGTCACCCTCATTGTGTAAGCTAGCTCTACAATCCACAAAATACGAATTTCTGTAATCTTAATTGCTGAATCATGGATTTCAAATGAAACAGGAATGAAACTGGAGAACAGAAACTATGGTGTGCAGAAATCTTACCTGGAGCAATGTATCCGCATGTGCCTGCAACTGCAGTCCAGTTCGAGGAATTAGGCTTCAAAAACCTCGCTGTGCCGAAATCGGAGAGGTAAGCTTTGAAATCATTGTCCAATAGAACATTTTTGCTTGATATATCTCGATGGATTATTGGAGGTCTGCAGTCATGATGCAAGTAGGATAAAGCATTTGCTATGCTTCTCACAATTTCCACCCGCTTGCTCCAGTCTAACTCCTCAGCTCTAATGTCATTGCTTAGGATATCCCCTAAGCTTCCCCTGTCAATATAGTCGTAAACAAGGAATTTGTTTGGTCCACGAGAACAAAATCCATAAAATTTCACTATGTCCCTGTGCCTGATTTCTGTCAACACTTGAATCTCATTCCTAAAGCTTGCCTCTTTGACCTCCTCATCATCCAGGGACTGAATTTTCTTCACAGCAAGGGCATGTCCTGACGGCAATTCTGCTTCGTAGACTCTCCCAGTTCTGCCCATCCCGACACAATACTCATCATCAAAACCATTGGTGGCTTCAATGATGTCTTCGTATACAATTTTCCCATCATAATTCAATATTGAAAATACATTCCCGCCATTCGAGACTGTAGCATCCTTCGCCTTGTTTCTCACTTTCGATCTGTTTGAGAAAATGAAAGACATAGCCACCAAAGATATGAAAAACAGTACTCCAAACGAAAGAGTGCTGACAATGATCAACACTCTGTGTCTGTGGTGTTTGTTTCGAGTAATATTTTCCAGTGATGTGATATTGCAATGCAGCAAATCTTTTGCATCACCACGTAAATGTTTGTTATTGCTGAATGCCTCTGGTGGAGCAAGGCAAAAAATTTCACCATCAGGAACTGGACCTTCCAAGTTATTGTATGAAAAATCAATGGAAGTTAAGGCAGTCATCTTGCTGAATGAAGGAGGAATAGAACCAGAGAGCATATTGTGTGAAAGGTTCAAACTTTCCAACATGCTCAATTTTCCAAGCTCTGAAGGTATCTTGCCTGACAGTAAATTTTGACTAAGATCAAGTGAACCATGCAAGGCAAGATCGCCAATCTGATAGGGGATAGAACTGTTGAAGTAATTTGAAGATAACCGAAGGTTACTCAATTTCTGGCATTCAACAAGTTTTTGTGGGATTGCCCCCACCAGTTTGTTGGCTGAAAGGTCTAGATTGTCAAGACTGGAAAGTCCTTCGATCGCCGGAGGCACCTGACCTGAAAGATGATTATTGCTCAAGTTAAGGTGGTTCAGAGTGGATAATCTGCCCAACTGTTGTGGTATTTCTCCGACTAGCTGGTTTGAAGATAGGTCAAGCACACCTAGTTGTTTCAATTTGCCAAGTTCACCAGGTATGTTACCGGTGATCGCATTCCCAGAGATCTTTAGCTGAGTGAGATTATTGCAGCCACCCCAGTTAGGGGAGAGCACCCCCTTCAATCTGTTGTTGCTCAATTCCATGTAATTAAGATTCGGATAAACTCCAAAGTCTTGGTCTAAATTTCCTGTGAGTTGGTTATTTTGGAGTCGGACTCTAACCAGGCTTGTGCAGTTTCTCAAGCTTTTTGGCACTGGACCTCTGAAGTTATTAACAGCTGCACTGAAATATTGAAGTGGAGCTCTTTGACATACTTCCGGCAAGGGACCAGAGAAGTTGTTCTCGTCAAGATGAACTTCATATAGAGAGAGATTTGCCAGCCCTTGAGGCACTGTACCTGAGAGTTGATTTTTAAATAACCGCAAATCGAATAGTTTCTCACATATAAGCAAACTATGAGGAAAGTGTCCTGAAAGCTCATTCTGATGTAACCACAAAATGGTTAATTCACTCAGGTTACCAAAAGATAGAGGGATAGGACCACTAAGATGGTTGACATGCAAGGCCAAAGCTTTTAAATGCTTGAGATTTCCTATCTCAGAAGGAATAAAACCATGGAAACGGTTATTTGCTAAAGCTAGCTCTTTGAGATTTCTAAGACGCCCTATTTCTGGTGGAATCATTCCAGTGAAATTGTTGTTGTGGAACTCTAGATGTTTCAGCCTCGTCCAGTTGGAGAATAAACGTTGGTCTAGCTCACCACTGATCAAGTTATTTCCCACGTAGAGCAATGAAATCTGTGTGAGATTAGCAAGAGAAACAGGAAGGAAACCAGAAAGATAGTTCATTGAGAGGTTAAGGTGGGTTAGTTTTGAAAGCTCACCAATTTGTGGTGGAATGGGATCACTAAGATTGTTGTTACTAAGATCAAGAGAAACCAGGTTGGGAAATGAGGAGAAATCTAAGTTACTGAGATTACCTCCAAAAAATGCATCTTGTAGGTTTATTGAAGTAATGCTGCCATCTTTATTGCAAGAAATTCCAAACCATTTGCAATGGCTACGGCTGGTTAAAGTCCCATTATTCTGTTCCAGGCTCCAGGACTGGAGAGAGGAGTGGTTGAGGGTTTCTTTCCATCTCAGAAGAGCCATAGCTTCAGCATTTGGCTTTGCTTGAACAAATGACATTAGACAGCAGACGATGAGCAGTTCAAGTGGCAAACATTTTCTGAAGTAGGCCATGGCTGAGGTGCGTATACTAGTAATTACTGTGTGGCATATAAACCCCATCAAGCACCTTTATTTATACAGGCGGTGACTTGTAATCTACGTCAAATATGTGCGTGGTGTCCTTACAAGGAAACATGGTTGATGTAATTAGTTGAAAGAAAGGGTCATTGCCATATTTTCTTGGTCTTATTATTACAAAACTTTTTTATTTTTATTTTTTTCCTTTGAGATGCTGTTTCTTGTTACATTACTTAAAGGGTAAGTTCTAGTTTTGTTTTGAGAGCAGTTGGTCTCTGAAAAATGACTATTTCGTGAAAGAATCATCGGGAGTGCTAAAGTGTTTGATTCTTGCTTTGAGTACAGATACATTACCAATAATTGTTGAAAATGAATTTAATGAGATTCATTTAGTTATTTTATTCAAATTCAAAAAGTTTAATGATCATATATAGGTGATGAGGTCTGGATCCTTGGATTATTTAAACGTTCAGATGTTGTTTCTACTTAGCTAATCGTAAGGACTGTTTTTCATCTAATACTTATTTGTAGTGTTTCTGGAAGTTGTAAGAGTATTTGGTACGGAGGCTTCGTATAGGTATATTTGAAGCAGATGAGTCTCTCCTTCATAGTTTGATGAGAGACGCGTTGGGTTGTATTTTTTCGATTGTAATACTAGATACATAATCGATGCTTAAAACGCTGACGTTCTAGATTTCTCTAGGATTATTTCATAGTCTTGGTCCACGCGAACTAAAGAAAAACTTGTTTAGTTGATGCATGTATAGGACTGTTTCCAAATTCTTTTTTGAGAACGGCTTTGGTGGTCGAGGTTGCTTAACGTTTTAGTGCTAGGCGCAACCTTCACATGCAATGGGTTCTATCGTTGTTGAGAATGGTCGATTTTCTTGCCTGAGCATGGTGACGGGTCATCTCATTCGACTTATAAAGCAAGCCAGACTGACTCGAATGCAAGCGAAAGAGCTACTCTATACGTTGAAATTAAGTTCAACAATACAAGAAGCTAACACAATCATCAAGAAAAAAAAATTCCAAGTCCTGAAGGTCCATAGAAGTAGACAGTTTGCGGTCTGGCACGGTATTAGCTGTTGTTCTTAGGTTTAGTGGAGGTTGACAGTAGTATATAGCGAGATATACGGCGAAAATTCGCAAGAGTGAAATAAAAAAATAATAATAATAAATATCCTTCAATTTCAAAATAATCAAAATCTCCGGAAAAATAAGGAAAAAAGACAGATAAAAAAAAAAAGAAGAAGCTACAATTCCATACAACAACAATCTGACTTGTTTTACAGGTTTGGATCACAAAAGAATCTGAAAATAGCTAGGTTTTTTTAGTGAATTTTGACATCAAAAGACCTTTGGTGATCAATCACACGATATAAATTTCTGAATAAATTTTTTAAATTAATATAATTTACGTGAATTGAATATCCCAATAAAAAATTATTGTTCTTTAAAGAACTAGTGCATGTTTGCTCTTTTAAACTATATATCTTTTTATGTTTCTATCTATCCATATCTAGTTCATGAATCATCAGCTAGTTGTCTTACAGTATTAATGTCCATCATTCTTCAAAATATCTTAAGCTCATCAAAATTGTTGGAATTAGGGTCATCAACGATGTCAATCCCTTTAAAATTGAATGAAGCTATTATTATCTACTAGAAAGAAATTTTAGAATGACCGTGTAGAATGGGATATTTGGGTCTACATACGTAATAGATTTATTCTATAACTGCCGAACATGCCAAGAAAAAGAAAGGAAATTTTATTATGGAAATTTTGTTCCATAGTTTTCTTGCACCAATTACGCTCACCGAGGCTGATGAAGCGTTACTTTCATTTGGATAGAGTTGACATTCTCACAAAAATTTTATAATGCGTAAAAAATAATTAGTAATATATACAAGTATAATTATTCTATTGATTCACTTTAAGAAAAGAGATAGACATATAAAATAAAAAAAAATTAAAAAAAAATTATGCAAATATGTAAATCTTTTCGTCACTTTTTATAGATCCGGATGTGATTCTTTTTTTTTTTTTTTTTGTCTATCTCTCTACTCAAAGTGAATTCATAAAATAACTATTGTATATATCACTAGTTATTTTTTATGAATTATAAAATTTCTCGACCTTCTTGGATTATGTCAATTTAATTGAAATTTATTCAACAAATAAAAAATTATATTTAGATGGCTTGACTCCTACTAAATATTTTGGAAGAAATACTAGATATTGGTGAAATTTCATTTTGGTATCTAACATATTACTTAATTCTTAATTTCATCCCAAACCTATAATTTTTTTCAATTTCATCTCCAACACGTCAAACATTTCTCTTTGGATCCTTGCATCTAAAAAAAAAATCGTATTTTTTTCATGTGATATGTCAAATTCTCTTCAAGATGGCATTTTCTATTATTTGTATAAAATAATGAAAAATATTTATAGTTACTCTAGCAGCATTTGAATCATTCGGATCTTTGTTATCATATATCCTTCTTAATTAATATTTTAATTCTACAAATGTTTTATAATTTTTCTTTTTCTCATTTTATTTTTTTTTATTATATTTTAGTAGTATGTTGTTTGCTATATTTAGAGAAGATATATAATACTATTTTGTATAATATGTAAAGAACATATAAGGTATTACCTAACCTCCTTGATATTTATGGTGTTAACCTTTTATAATGGCTGGAATAATATCAACTTGCATGGAGTGAAAGACATATTTGTCTTTCTCTTAAAGGCAAAAGAATCTTTCTTTTTATTGTGCATCAACTTTTGATTGGAAAATTTGCAAATTGAGGATCTTAATTTTAGATGAATATCTTATGACCAATATTAGTGTGAGTAATATCATTTTTTTCAGATTGGCATATGGAATGATGTCTTTTATCTAAGACTTGTCCTTTATGCGTCTTTGTAGCAGAACTAAACTCGAAAATTAGTAACGAATTTGGAGAATGAGTGTTTCTGGCCATTGTAAGAGTCTTTGCTATGGAGGTTTTGTATAGGTTTATTTGAAGACTTTGAGTGATCCATCACACTATAGATTTCTGAATAAGTTTTTCAGATTGATATAATTTTAGCTAATTGAACATCTGAATAAAAAATAATTGTCCTTTGAAGGACTAGTGCACCTTTACTCTTTTAAACCATCTTTTATGTTTCTATCTGTTCATGAATTATATTATCAGCTAGCTGTCTTACGCTATTAATGTCCATCATTCTTCAAAATATCTTAAGTTTCAAAACTGTTGAAATTAGAATCATCAACCATATCAATCCCTTTAAAATTGAATGAAGCTATTGTTATCTAATGGAAAGAAATTTTAGAATGACCGTGTAGAATGGGATATTTGGGTCAAATTCTCTTCAGGATAGCATTTTCTATGGTATAAAATAATGAAAAATATTTATAGTTATCCTCGCTTCATTTGAATCATTCCTGTCTTTGTTATTATACATCCTTTTTAATTAATATTTTAATTCTACAGATGTTTTACAGTTTTTCTTTTTCTCGTTTTATTTTTCTACTATATTTTGGGTCTACTTTTGTTACCTCCAAATGGTATGTTCCACTTCGCTTTCATATTTTGGTTTATCAAACAAAAAACAAAAAATCATAGAGATGGAATTGTATAATTTTTTCCAACCAAAATCAGATCATCATTAACAATTATATATATAGATAGATAGAAATTGTAGCAATCTAATTAATCAAGAAAATCATCTTATTTTGACAAAAAAAAAAAAGATTTCAAGTGGTCCTGGCCGCGTTTTAAGTCCAAACTATTTAGAAAATCTCCATTCCCACGAGGCTGATCAAAAGTGGTGAAGACTTAGACTATTGGGATTTCTAAAATTTGTGGTGTACATGTTTTTTTATTTTTTATTTTTTTCAAGGCATTGCATTAATTCATCTCTATATAAAGGAGAAGTATAATGATTTTCAAAGATGCAGTATATATAATTGATAACTTGGAAAAAAGCTCTTGAAATGGGTTTAAAGAATTCCCTTCTCATTGTATCTTTCATTGTTCTTGCCATCACCACAACTATGGAGGGGAGAACAAAAGAGCTAGGTGACAACACTTCAAGAACCATGGAACTAGATGAGAAAAAAGAAACAGGTAAGCCTGTTTTTTTTTTTTTTTAATGTAAGTAGAATATTGCAGAAAAATGATGAATTTAACCTCAATTAATATAAAAATTAATTTAAATATATTCTACTGTATATATATATATTAAAACCCAACAAGCAAAAAAGAATTCTTGAATATATATATATATGTGTGTATTGTTTTAATATGTTTTTATCATTTTATGGATAGGTATTGAAGATTATGGTTGGAATGCTGGTGGCCCTAATCGTCCTCTGAATGAAATGGAAGCGCCAATTCCAAGTATGGGCTCATAGGCAGGGAATTATTTGATTTCATGCAGGCATTGAAGAAATCTTAATCCAGCGTATGAGGGTTATTTTATATATTATTCAATATAATCGTGTTTGAGTCGGTTTATATATATAATAAGTGAGATATATTATCCAACTAGTTTTTCTATCATTCTAAACTAAATCCATTACTTTATGAATAAGTTTATTTTAGTGTATGAAATACAGACTTGTACTAATGGCAAAACAAAGGCATATATATGAATAATATATACTTAAATTTATACATTATCGTTAAAATTAGATATCATGTAATTCCTCTTTAATTTCTTTCTCAATCTGCAGGATGCATGATTATCACATTTGAACTAGCTCTAAGCTTTTTTTTTTTTTTTTTTTGGCTATAGATATGGATTTTGTAGCTCACTCAATTATTAGACGTTACGAGAATTAACGTTAATACTTAGTAATTAGTACAGCAAGAAATGTGATTGAATTACTATGACGAACTGAATTGGTTACCGTTACCAAAATAGATAACTACTCTAACCTTCTTTCCTAATAAAGCTTTTTTAAATTCAAATACTTCAAAAAAAATGATTCGAGTGCAATAAGCTCATTAGACTAAGTCAACTAACTTGCCTTACTCAATTTGTCTATTTCAGACCAATTAGTGAACGGTCAGTTATATAATTTTACACTTCCACTTTAATTTATTTTCATGCTGCTCCAAAATGAATGTCAATTAACCAAGTCCCAAAAAGTTGAAGAAATTAAAATTGTACATGTTTAAGCCTTTTGCATGTCTAGACATGTAGAAGACAACTGGTTGTCTTGATCTAACGAAAGATCACCTTCATTCCTGAACGGCAAGTCGCTTTCTGATTGGCTAGTATATATATATATATATTTTTTTTTCATTCTTTAACTCTACAAATTATTAGTTGGGATTTGATTCTCAATACTTATCTATAAATACATCCAGAAATGTTAGATGGAGATCATGATCACAGAGAAACATTTGTATTTTCTCCGTCCCAAAAAAAAAAAAAAAAAAATTGTTTGTATTTTTATTTATATTTATCTTAAAATATTTATCAGATGAAATGATATAGTTTTCAAAAATATTTTTAATTAAAATCTATTCTGTAAATAATACAATATAAAAAAATATTTAAAAATAACAAATACTGATGCGACGAAAATGTATAATTTCTTTTCAACAAAAGGATTACTAGTTTATACATTCTGATCTTCATTCATACTAGCTAGCAAAAGCCTATTAGCAAGCTAGAAAAGATGCTTATCTATGCCGTTGCCACACAGCTGCATTTGCATCGAGACATGCATTTCTTGCAATCAGAAAGAGTTGGCTTCCCACCGTCGCAATCACACCTTTTAGTACACTTGGGAATCAAGCTGCCACCCCACAAGCACCGTGCCACGCAGTGCAGAATTGGCACACAATTTGGACAGCTATACTTCATCTGATCAAGAACACAGTCTTTACATCCACTGCCACCCGGTGGCTTCTTGGTTCCACCTGATCCCTTACTTCCATGGCCGCCCGACGAGCAACTGGCCAGTGCCGGTGAAATCATCAAGGAAAACATCAGTAGCATCATTAACACAACAGGAAATGCTAACCTCTTCTTCTTCTCCTCCTCCATCTTTTCAGAACAAACGACAAAGTCCTTGCTAGTATTGACTACAATCCTTTTCGCTTATTTTATACACTTCTTGGTGACCAACAGCTAAGAGAAATGTTTCCCAATGTTCACATTACGACTCATATGCATGTATGTGAAAAAGATAGCTATATTATATAAATGGTGCTATCTTTCAATTAATGTTCACATTTTTTTCGAAGACTTAAATTTCATTAAATGGTCTCTTGAGCCATTGAATTTTCTGTCATGTCTTGGTTTGCACAAAGTAATTGATGAGATTGAATTTCTGCCATGTCTTGGTTTGCTAAATGTTTCATCTCGTCAACTATGGGTGTCTGCTGCATCAGTCATTATGGTTACAATGCAAAGCGGCACCGCCCCAACATCTGCTAGCCGTAAACTTTATTGCTCAATTAAAGAGTAAATTAATAATTAGTCCTTCTAGTTTTGCAAAACAAATTAAATAGTATCTTTAGTTTCAAAAGATAAATTATTCGTTTTGCAAAAATAAAGGGACTAATTTAAGTGATCATGACATGACTCGTGCACCGATTTTTTTTTTTTAATAAAAAAATCAATTTAAAATACAAGATGTTCAAGATTGTGGAGAGAGGTTATGCATGCCCATATATTTGATGAGTTAGGTATAATCACAGCTGTATGCTTGCTATCTAAAGAAGGAGAGCCATAAAAAATGGAGGATGAAAGCAAGAACCTGATGATCAATAATCCCTTTTTTCTACTCTTATCTTCAGTAAGCTATTCTTATTTCTTGGCCACATACATACCAAAAGGCCTAGCCAGGGTCATATTTCTCCTCCCCACATTTTACCTATTGTCCATCTTTCCTTGGTATTTCTCATCAAGTGTTCTTAGAGGGGTTTTATCTTTCTTTGTAACATGGATAACTTCTTTCAAGCTTCTCCTTTTTGGCTTCAACAAAGGGCCTCTCTTTGCTTGCAAAAACTACTTGGATTTTGTCGCAATTGCCATCTTTCCTCTCAAGATCAAGGAAAATGAACCACCTTTAAATCTTTCACAAAGTTTTAAAACCCTATCATCAATCATGGGAAGGTATGAGCTAGTGAGAATATTCAACAAGCCATATTTAGCCACATCTTTACAAGACTTTTGGGGTAGAAGGTGGAACCGGTTGTCTTCAAATATTTTGAGGCAAACAATATATGAACCGACCCAAAATGCTTTGGTGGGTGTCGTTGGAGCTGGCAAAGCTAGGGTATTGGCCTTGATTACTACCCTTGTGATTTCAGGCATCATGCACGAACTTATGTTCTACTACATCTCTTGTGGGATGAGACCTACATGGGAGGTCACTTGGTTCTTTGTGCTGCAAGGAATTTCCATGGTTTTCGAGGGTGCCTTGAAGTATTTGGCTCGGGTTAAGGGTTGGACACCGGTTCACCCGGCTGTTTCGAATGTTTTGACACTTGGGTTTGTGTCGCTCACTTTTTATTGGTTTTTTGTTCCGCCCGTTTGGAGGAGTGGACGAAACGAATGTGGCTTCAGGCCAAGAGTTTGATCTTTTTTGAGAATAGATCACTCAAACCCTATCAATTATTTCAAGTGTAAAAATATAATCTTTGATGTAATGTACAATTTGTGCCAAGGAATTTTCATGCAAGGAAGCATCCAATCATGCAGAGAACCTCCAAACTCATGTGAAAAGATCGACGAAGAAAGAAAAAATCTGCATGGAAATTGGAATAATTGAACAAAAATAACTGAAAATAAATTAAAAAGAAAGAAAAAATCGACAAAGACCAACATAAAGTCTTGCAGGTTGCTGCTGCTACTAAAGAATCAAAGGACAGAGCTCGATGAGGTGGTCAGTATGACTCAGTAAGGAGTCACATGCTTGTGTTTAATTTCCATTTCCCAACTATAAAATCATCATGGAAATTGGAATAATTGATAGAGGATCTGTGCAGAAGAAAGTTAGCTGGAGAAAATAAATTGGCTCGTGGTTTATCATTTTAATACTTCATTTTTCCCCATACTTGAAGTTAATCACGAATGAAACTTTGTAGATTTTATTCTTCGGACGAGATTCAGTTTATAATAAAATATAAGATTAATATCCTCGTATTCTTATATAATAGGCTAATTTTTTAATTTATTCATGGGAAAAAAATCTCTAATTTGTTATTATATTTTAACCTAGTTTCTAATCAAAATTTTCAGCTAATATATATATATATGATTTGTGTCAAATAATAAAGATAATTTTATTAAATCATATATCTATTATAAATTACATGCTTAATTTCGTTAAAAATATTATCAAATTATAAATAGAATAATATATTAAAAATCAGTTCAAATTATAAAAACACATCGGAGGCCTTTTTTTAATAAAGGAAATTGAAAATCTGATCCATTATATAATATAAGGACATCCCAGGTTATAATTAATCCTAAAAATATAAGGAATAAAATAATTTTTTGAAAAAATTTCAAAATCAAAAGATGGACTTTTTCAAAAAAAAATATCGATCCTTATCATGCTTAACGTACCAAACACAGAACAAAAATATGCATTTATTCGGTTCAAAGTTCAAACTAGTCTTATTTATTATTCAGGTCAGTTCAGTCCAATTTAATTCTATTTGTTTTGTTCTGTCCGGCATACAAAAGAAACATCCTTAAATCATTTCTCCTAGGATTTATGCATCTTGTTGGACGTTTCTGGGCCTTTGTACCTTATGTGATATTCTTTGAGTAAACTTGGACTAGGTTGCTCATGTAACTAATTCCGATTCAAACGGAATGGGCTACTCCTTTTTTGGTAGAAATTTTTATAGGTAAATGTGTTTTTACGTAACAATAATTTTTTAATTTGTTTTATACTTTTAAAATTGATTTAATTTTATTTTTAAATATATGATAAGTTTTTAATATATTTTTATGACAAGATTTTCAAACTACATCAGTCATAATTAATCAAGTGATTCTCAACATAAAATCTTCTATTTATTTGATTTATAAAGTCATTTTGAAACAAAAAATAGTCATATATAAATCATGACCGTTAATTTGAATAATTTAATTTGAAAAAATTATCAAAAAAATATATTAAAAACTTAAACGTATATTTAAAATTGTAATTCACTTCATTAGAAATATAAAAATAATTAAAATTTCACGAATCATTAATCGGAATATAAACTTATTGCGACAACTTATGGCAGTCTAAAATTTATGATCATTATGATCTATAAAAATATCTCTCAAGTAGATATATGCACCTTTCATAAAATTAAAGAAAGCAAAGACTTCCTTCCTAGCCTCAACATCAATCTTGCAACGTACCACGGTTGGCATGAACAACCACATGGCACTTACCACCACAGACCCCACCACAAGCGGTGCCGTCACCACCTTAGGCAATCTCCATGTACACTTTATCTCTCTCTTGATGCCAATTTCAATTGCCAAGCAAAAACCATGCAAGAGAAAGAAGCATGTGACCTCCCACTTCGGCTTTTGGCGTCCAATGTCATAAAAGATCAGCTCGTGCATGAGGCCAGAGACCAAAAATGTACCGATCACTGCTGGTAATGAAGCCCACTTTTTTGCGATCCATCGTCTAGAAACCGAGCGGATTGGATTGTACACAGTTGGATGCAGGATGCTAGTGACCATTAGGTTCCATCTTTTACCCCAGAAGTCTTGCAACGAGCTGGCTAGGTATGGCTCGTCAAATTGTGGCTCGAGTTCTACACCAAGACAGGCTCGAGCTAGGGCTCCAACCATGGCTAAGAGTAATTCTAGACTTATATAAATGTGGAAAACGTAAAGAAGCAATATGATTTTTGGATGGATATATTCTTCTTTGGTGTAAATGTAACCAAATACTATTAGTAGTAAAAACTTGAAGGCATAGTTTAGAGGTGATTTAAGGCCTTTTGGGGGGTTTCTTGAGATGGGGCATCTTTGTTTTCAACACTCATCACAAGCTTCTCAAGATCTTGATTGTCGTCAAGATTTACAAGCTCTTGATCATGAGGTAATATTACTGGCGTAGGGTCTTGATGAATCTTGATAGGAAAGCAAGCTAAGGCAACGAAATGTGGGAAAGAGAGAGGTGGGTTGGATGATAAAGGGCCTTGATCGAAGACGAAGAGAAGAAGCTTAAAGTTAGCAAGCCAAGAAAGGAAGAAAGAAGTAATAGCTCTAAGATTCAAAGTGTGGATAGAAAGAGGCAGGACAAGGAAGATGCATATGACTGGCAAGACTGCGAGAAGCCTAGTTGTGCCTTTGTGGATCAACTGACCTATTTTGTGACAATAGCAAAGTAATGCCACAACTGATATCCATACCAAGAGGAAGTTGCTCGAGTCACCTCCCATTTACACTTCAGCTATGACCTAACTATCAAGATGTGATTGTGAGAGGAGACTCTTGCTTGCATGGTATATTTGTTAAGTTGCTATGAGCCATTGTTTCTACTTGGTTTTTTCTTAGAACCTTTCACTTAGACTCTTTCATTAAATGCATTTCTAGATACCAACAACTATAGCTCGCCATATAAAGGAGTGTATTGATGGTTTGGTCGATTTAGGTAGGTTCATTGAGACATCAAATCAACTTAGAGAAATAGAACGGCACTCATAAATGCTATAGCATGCTGTCTAAGGATACGGTTAGATCAAAATTAAGGTTTAATTCATAAATATTTTTTAAAAAAATTAAAATTAAGGTTAGGTTTTCATTATTTAGAAATAATTAATCATGATTATTCTTTAATAGTAATAAATTTGGGCTAATTAGATTTTAAAAATAACTTATTAATCGACTAAAAGTTAAATATATTTTGAAGTTGGTTTAATTTAAAAAGTGATAAACTTAGAACTAATTGATGTAAAATTTGATTCGAAAATAATCTACTTTCTATAAATATTTTTTAAAAATCAAGTCAAGTGAGAGTAGCTTGATGATGACTATTGGTGATAGATAAAAGTATGGAAATTTTTTTATTCTATCAACTTGATTTATTAGACCAAATTTCTTATATTGTCTTGATTTATGACACAAACTAGTTTTAATAAGCAATGGGATATACTGCCAACCAATAAAAAATATTTTTGATCCATAAGCAAGGTTTATATAAAAATTACACATGCATGTATGAATGCATCAGTCACATTGAATAATCTACTTATTACTTGATTAAATAAACATATAAATTGATTCAAAAATATTTTTATCTTTAAAAAAGAAAAGATTTATCGATAATAAGATCAAGTTCAAATTTATATGGACAAAATTTATTAGACGAAGTTGATGTATTGGAAAAAATTTATATTGTCTTGATTTATTGTACAAGCAACGGGATCTATATATTATCAGCCAATTAAAAATAAATTTGGTCCATAAACGAGATTTATATAAAAATTACACATATGTAAATGCATCTGTTACGTTGAATGACACACTTATTATTTGATTGAATAAATATTAGCATTATTCATTAAATCTGATTCAATAATATTTTTACTATTAAAATTAAAAATTATATATCAATAATAAGTTTAAGTTCAAATTTATATGGAAAAAATATATTAGATGAAATTGATTTATAAGAAAACAATTTATGTTCACTTGATTTATTGCACAAGCTAGTTATATTAATTAAATAATGAGATCTATTACCAAACAATTAAAAATATTCTTGGTCCATAAACGAGATTTATATAAAAATTACACATATATGAATGCATCAGTCGTATTGGGCCAGTTTTGGACCGGGCCATACGAAGGCAGTGAGCCCATATGGATTTTAGACATTATCATAGTTCAGATTGGGTCAGGTTTGGCCCGCCACATATGGGCTGACAAATTTTGTTAGCCTCCTTCTAAATTTAGAGCTTCCTTTTGACTTCTACTCTGGGCTTATATTAGAAGGGCCTCGCAGGCCGGACTTTGAACTTTTTTCAATAAAAAAAAAAAAAAAAAAAAAAAAAACCTCTCAAATACCCGCTCTATTTTTCAACTAAAAAAAAAATTATCTATTTTTTATTTATATTTATTCTAACAAAATTTTAAGTAGATATATTTTTTAAGATATCTCTAATTAATATTGATTTCATATTGTATAAGAATTTTAAGAAATTATGAAAAAAAATATCGATATAATATAACATTAATAATTTTTTAAAATTTATGTGAAAAGTAAAAAAGATATTTTTTTAAAAAAAAAATTTAATTAAATAAATAACACCACGGTATGTCCTTTAAAAGAAGAATTATTCAGTACGGAAAAATGTAATTAGTTTCAGAATCAGATGAAAATTAACTTTTGCTAGTAGAAACTATTTAATTAATTTTCAGAATACATCTTTCAAGTGGATATACATATCTTTCACAAAATTAATGAAAGCAACCACCTCCATCTCTGCCTCAACAAGATCAACGTAAGACTGTCGGCATGAACAACCACGTGGCTGTAATTTAATTATTAGTTAGTCCTTCTAGTTTTGTTAAACAAATTAAATAGTATCTATAGTTTCATAAATTAATTAATCATTCATTTTGCAAAAATAAAAGAATTAATTTGTAATTTATTCAACTAAATAGCCAGGATCATTAGTTTTGTAGCATCCTCACATCAAAAATTTATCATAAATATAAACAAGAAGCAATGCATTGCATGCCAACTCTAGAAAGCCTGATTTGATCCTAAATTATAAGAGAATATTTCTCTTTTATATTTTTTATGGATTTAAGATTGTATGGTAAGGTAAAAATATTTTTGGATCAGTTTGCATGTTAAATTTTTCTAAATCTTCTCTCTGAAGATTTTAAAGACGCATATTTCACATCAATCTAGTATATTCAAAAGAATTTAATAAAAAAATAAATAAATACTAACCTAAATTTAAATTTAGAAAGTCAAGAAAATAAACAAATCTTTTTTTATCACTAGAAAGTAGAAAAAGGTGATGCCACTCAAAAAAGAAAGAATGAACAAGGATTAGTTGAATCGAGTAAATTATAAACTAGTCCCTCTTGTTTGCAAAAATAAATTAATTAATCTTTTTATTTTCAAAAACTAATTATTTAATTAGTTCTTTTAACCAGGGTTAACTACAACTAAAATAATATTTTTATATTTTATAACATATCTTCTTTACTCAACAATCTTTCCATATGTTAACTTATTTTTATTTCTTTTCTAATTCTTTAAATAAATAGCAAAATAGCAAAAGAATTAAATAATTAATTTTTAAAATTAAAGAGATAAATTAATTTATTTCTCGAAATAAGAGGGACTGATTTATAATTTACTCTTGGATCAAGACTTAAAAGCCTCAGTTGTAAAAGAGAGAGACGAAATGAATGACTCGATGCTTTTGCAACAAAATTGGTTGACACAAATTGTACATTTCATCAATAATTGATAGGGTTTGAGTGATCTATTCTCAAAAAGGTGCAACTCTTGGCCTGAAGCCACATTCATTTCGTCCACTCCTCCAAACAGGCAGCACAAAAAACGAATAAAAAGTGAATGACACAAACCCAAGTGTCAAAACATTTGAAACAGCCGGGTGAACCGGTGTCCAACCCTTAACCCGAGCCAAATACTTCAAGGCACCCTCGAAAACCATGGAAACTCCTTGCAGCACAAAGAACCAAGTGACCTCCCATGTAGGTCTCATCCCACAAGAGATGTAGTAGAACATAAGTTCGTGCATGATGCCTGAAATCACAAGGGTAGTAATCAAGGCCAATAGCCACTAAAGCATTTTGGGTCGGTTCATATATTGTTTGCCTCAAAATATTTGAAGACAACCGGTTCCACCTTCTATCCCAAAAGTCTTGTAAAGATGTGGCTAGATATGGCTTGTTGAATATCCTCACTAGCTCATACCTTCCCATGATTGATGATAGGGTTTTAAAACTCTGAGAAAGATTTAAAGGTGGTTCATTTTCCTTGATCTTGAGAGGAAAGATGGCAATTGCGACAAAATCTACGTAGTTTTTGCAAGCAAAGAGAGGCCCTTTGTTGAAGCCAAAAAGGAGAAGCTTGAAAGAAGCTATTCATGTGACAAAGAAAGATAAAACCCCTCTAAGAAGACTCGATGAGAAATACCAAGGAAAGATGGACAGTACGTAGGTAAGATGTGGGGAGGAGAAATATGACCCTGGGTAGGCCTTTTGGTATGTATTTGGCCAAGAAGTAAGAATAGCTTGTTGAAGATAAGAGTAGAAAAAAAGGATTGATCGTCGAGTTCTTGCTTTCATCCTCCATTTTTTATGGCTCTCCCTTCTTTAGATAGCAAACATAGAGCTGTGATTATACCGAACTCATCAAATATATATATATATAACACTCAAATACCCGCTTTACTGAAAATTTTTTTTTCTTATTTATATCTATTTTAAAATATTTATTCAATCAAGTAGTGTATTTTTTTTAAATATCTTTGATTGATTCTATATCATGTAAAATTAAGTTTGATTATTAAATTTTTTTTAATATATATATATATATATATATATGGAAAAAATACCTATATTATATAATAATTAATAATTTTTTTTAAATTGTGTGAAAAAAAAGAATAATATTTTTAATTAATATATATATCCTTTAAACGAAGAATTGTTCAGTACAGAAAAAACAGTAATTAGTTTCCGAATGAGATGAAAATTAAGTTTTGCTAGTAGAGAGTATTAATTTAATTAATTTTCAGAATACATCTTTCAAAAATTCTGCTTGAGATTAATCATCGGAAAGAGAGGAATCGATTGCGAATAAAACAGATTCGGGATCTAAATTGAAAAAAAAAAATTAAAGATTGAGTGCCTATCTCATGTTAGACAATAATTTAAAGTGCTTTATAACCAAAAAAATGTGTGATTCTCAAGCAACCAATTCGAACGATATTATCTTGTAAATTTGGACCACTGAAGACAGTGAGCCCATATGACATTTTAGACATGATCATAATTCAGATTGGGTCAAGCTTGGACCGGGCCTCAAGTGGGCTTAAAATTTTCGTTAGCCTCCAAAATTTAGAGCTTTCTTTTGACTTAGAGTCTGGGCTTGTATTAGTAGAGCCTCGCAGGCCGGACTTTGAACGTTTTTCAAGAAAACAAAGAATAACTCTCAAATACCCGCTTTACTAATAATAATAATAATAATTTATTTTCTTATTTATATCTATGTTAAAATATTTATTCAATCAAGTAGTGTTTTTTTTTTTTTTAAATATCTCTAATTGATTCTATATCATGTAGAATTAATTTTGATTAATAATAATTTTAAAAAAAATTATGAAAAAAATATATATTATATAGTAATAAATAATTTTTTTAATTTGTGTGAAAAAAAAATAATATTCTTAATTAAATATAAATCACAATAACACGGTATATCCTTTAAACGAAGAATTTTTCAGTACGGCAAAATGTAATTAGTTTCAGAATGAGATGAAAATTAACTTTTGCTGGTAGAGAGTATTAATTAATTTAATTAATTTTCAGAATACATCTTTCAAGTGGATATAGACACCTTTCAAGAAATTAATGAAACCGATCATCTCCATCCGGACCTCGACATCAATCTTGCAACGTATGACTGTCGGCATGAACAACCACATGGCAGTAGCCACCACAAACCCCACCACAAGTGGCGCTGCCACCACCCTAGGCAATCCCCATGTAGAGTTGAATTCCATCTTGATAATAATTTCAACAGTCAAGCAAAAGCCATGCAAGAGAAAGAAGCATGTGACTTCCCAAGTTGGGTTCTGGCGTCCGATGTGATAGAAAATCAGCTCGTGCATGATGCCAGACACAAGAAATGACGCAATCACAGCAGGTACTGGGGTCCATTTTTTTGCAATCCAACGGCTAAGAACGGACCGGACAGGATTGAACACGGCAGGGTGCAGGACATTAGTCACCGTTAGGTTCCATCTTTTACCCCAAAAGTCTTGCAATGAGCTAGCTAGGTATGGCTCATCGAATTGTGGCTCGAGCTCCACACCAAGACAGGCTCGAGCTAGGGCTCCAACCAATGCTAAGATTAATTCTAGACCAATATAAATATGAACGACATAGATTAGCAGTAAGATTTTTGTATCGATGTATTCTTCTTTGGTGTATATGTAGCCAAAAATCACAAGCAGTAGAAACTTTACCGAATATTTCAGAGGTGCGCTAAGGACTTTCTGGGGGTTTCTTGAGATGGGGTATCTTTGTTTTCAACATTTACAAGCTTCTCAAGATCTTGATCATCATCAACATTTACAAGCTCTTGACTATGAGGTGATAGATTCGGTGGAGGGTTTTGTTGAATCTTGATAGGAAGGCAAGCTAAGGCTATAAAATAGGGCAAAGAAAGAGGCGGATGGGGTGATAAAGGGCCTTGGTCGAAGGCAAAGAGAAGAAGCTTGAAGTTTGCAAGCCAGGAGAGGAAGAAAGAAGAAAGAGCTCTGAGACTGAAGGTGAGGATATAGAGAGGAAGGACAAGAAATATGCATATGACTGGGAGGATAGCTAAGAGCCTGGTTCTTCCTTTGTCGATCAACTTGCCTATTTTGTAGCAATAGCAAAGTAACGCCAAGACTAATATCCATGCCAAGACGAAGCTGGACAAGTCACGACCTCCCATTTTCAATCTATGATTTATCAAGTTGTGATATCGAGAGTAGATTCTGCTACTATAGCGTAGTTTTTAAGTTGCTAGAAAGATCCATACCCTACATCAAAGACCCTTGATGTATTTTTACTTTTGACGTTTCTATAGGCCATATATTCATCTTGGTGCTAAATTATTTGATAAGAACCCATAACGGTATAGCCACCCCTTCATTAAAGCACCTTTCTTTTGTATGTTTTTCTATTGCCACTTAACCTCAAAAGACAGGCACAGTGATCAAAGACCTGCTCATTCTGTCGGAACCGAAAGTACTTTAATTAATTGGTTAAACAAATAATTTTAATTTCTAAGTAGTCGTATACGTAAGAAAAACTCTTTAAATAATTATATTTATTTTTATTCGTCACATAACGAAAGATTAATTTAAATTTTTAGAATTAAGATAAATATGTAAAGCATCTTAAATCTAAAAATTTTGTTTGTAATTAAATTTTTCTCTTCTATTTGACCAATCTCATGTGAAGTTTTTCACACATAAGAGTGATTAAGAAGGTTTGCAATTTAATTTTTATTTTATTTTACTTTCTGAGTTCGAATCTTGAAATCAATAGATCAATACGAAAAATTTATCCACCGACACATAAAGTAAAATATACTTATCATCGTGAAAAAATGGGTTTGCCTTAAATTCACCATAGACTTTGGTGTGTGTTCCATCCTTAATTTAATTTCTTTCAATGTTCTGGTCTATGTTTGCTGAAAGGATTACATAAATCATAAATACAACTACATTATTTATGTTTGCAAGCACACAGATTGTCATCAAATCAGAACCGCTCAACCAAAATAATTTCTCAAAATTTGGATATTTACAAGCCGCTAGATGTGTTGAAAAATCTTAAAAAGAATGCACGGCCAGCATTCTTCAAATACTCGCCTACAGCAGCATACTCCTCCAATGCCCTAACATCCGCCTTACACCGAAGAAATGGTGGAAAAAGCAGCCAAAAGCCGGTAACTATGACAAATCCAATGGTCAAAATAGTTTGCATCAACCTGGGCAACTGCCACCTGCCGTTTACCCTCTTTTTCAGAGCAATCTCGACCGTTAAACACACCCCATGTAGCAAAAAGAACCATGTGATCTCCCACGTGGGCTTCACGCGCCCTAAGTAGTAGAAAATGAGCTCATGCATTAGAGCCGACACTAGAAAGGTGCCCAAAATTGCTGTGACCTGGGCCCATTTGCTACCAATGAGGTTCTTACACGTGTTGATGATTGGTTCGTATACTGTAGGGCGTAGAATACTTGTTACCATGAGGTTCCATCTTCTTCCCCAAAAGTCTTGAAGTGAAGTTGAGAGGTATGGGTCACTGAATTGTGGCTCTAGCTCAAGCCCTAACAGGGTTCGAACCAAGGTTGCCACCATGGCTAGGATTATTTCAAGAAAAAAGTAAATGTGTAAACAATACAAGAGCCACATGATTTTTGGGTGGATATAATCCCCATAACCATATATGGCAACCAACAATGCCAAAACTAGGATTTTGGCTGCATAAATTAGAAATGATTTGCTAGAAACCTTTTTGGGAATTAGGTTTTGCTTATCTTGACCAGTCAGATGTGATTTTTGAGATTGGTTTTCTTGGCTATGGCCATTTAGCTTTGTTTTTCGAGGTGGGATTTGCTGGATTTTAATGGGAAAACAAGCAACAGAAACAAAACGACCAAAGGAGATTTTTGGGTCTAAGCACAGAGGTCCTTTACCAAATGCGAAAAGCAAGAGCTTGAAATTTGCAAGCCAAGCAATGAAGAAAGATATGAGACCTCCAAAATGAATGGAGGTAAATTCTAGAGGAAGAAGAAGAAAAAGACACACAATTGGCAGGACACAAAGAAGTCTTGGAATCCCTTTTGGGGTTACTTTTCCTATGACATAGCAGTAAGTTAGAGATACAAAGACTGAGATCCATACCTTCACGAAGTTGTATATCTCTCCTTCCATGTCTTTGTTTCTTGTCTTCCCCTTGATTTTTGCAGTCTTGTAATAGATATATGTAGAAGAAAAGGAGGGATCTAGAGACCAAACCTTTTTGGATAGAGTTGTTAACGATGAATAAATAAGTATCTGACTGTGTACAAAAAATGTGGAAGGCAAATGTGTGAAAAATGGTAGATCCACGTTTCTCTGGATTCAAAGAAACTAGCTGCCATGGTAAGCACATGGTTTTCTTTTGTATTTGCCTTTTTGTGTTTTCTTTGCATGAAACCTACTTGTTGGTTGCCACGTGCGGCGCTCCATCCTTTTCAAAAAGTTGACGAAGAAGGAAAACGAAATTTATAAAGAAGGGTTAGGCACGGCTCTTGATTCTTGAGCAAAGAAGAGTTGTGGGGAATGATAGTCACAATAAGTACTTGAGTGATGGAAATTTTGAACTTAAAAAAAAAAAAAAGGCTAAAGTTTAAATGTCATTTCTTACAGCTGTTCGTGACCACCATAAAATTTATACTTACTTTTCAATTTTAAAATATAGAAAGTTTAAAACTTTTGATTTTAAAATAAATCAGTATTCACCGAAAATGGTTGAAAAATGATCCGTTCTCAAATTAAATAATAATAATAATAATTGTATCAAGTATAATCGATAGCCATGATGTGGACAAGAAGAATTTTATTTTATTGTTAAGCTAAGAAAAAATTGTTCTAACAAGAAATCCAAGAGTTTATATTGGAATTTTCATTTGAAAATTTACCTTGGACTACATACATAGCATGAGGAGTCTCTCCCTTGTACTGTAACATAATAGACTATAATAATTAGGTTTTGAATTGAATAAAAAATATTGTTGTCTAATATAGCATGAGTTCCTTCACTCTAGTACAAAAATATATTAGAAAATATTAATTGTTCATTAAAATTTAAAGTTATTAAATATCATGTTTTTTTATCAATAAATTATTGATCTAATAGTAAACGAGCTAATTTTTAAATAAATTTTTTATCAATATACAAGATTTAAATCTAAAAGTCATAGTTATTAAGAGATGTTAAATTTTATCAATTTCATCCTAAATATGATTAATCGAGTCTCTAATATAAGATAAAAATACACGATAAAATCAATACATATTATGTCTTATAAAAATACATGATAAAAAATAATATATATTATGTTTCTTTCCTTCACTAGGAAGTTTTCCTGTTTTCTTTTCGATATTTATAACAATCTATTTTATTGGCTAAATAATTAATTATATGTACGCACGGCAGTATTGTCATTTTGCATGTGTGGGTTTGCGGGAACTCTTGGACAACGAAAAATTTTGTTTTTGTTTTTTTTTTTAAATTTATCCGGCATACACAATTATTAAATCAAACATTCATTTCTAACATTTAAAAAAAAAACTCTATAAGACTTAGATGGGAATTTAGGATTTAGAAGAAGGTGTGACGCCCCGGCTCCCTACCTATTACCTAACGAGTGTGACCGACGCGACACACTCGTTGGGACTAAGTCCCCTACTTCCTCCATCATACACAATAGAAACTAAACCATGGGAAACGTATGATATAATATATAACATTATTACATATAGTTCTATAATTTATAACATATTCAAAATGCCTAAAAATTTACGTCCTGAGCCCGTACCCCTTTTTAATTACATAAAAGATATTCCTATTTTTATGAGTGACACATGAGCCTCTTTTAGCGAGAACCGGTAGCATCCTCGAGCGACTTAACTTTGCCTTTGCTCGAACAACAGACAATTACAATAACAGAATGAGCCAAAGTTCGGTAAGTAGGGTGATGCACGTGATATGCAATGCTATTGTGTTTTTCATATTTTCATCCATTTTAATCCGGTACCCTAGGTATATGCAAGTCCATGCGCCCAATCTCTCGATGATCGTGTTATCACCTACCGTTCTATTACTTTCTCTCACTGATCTCAATATCACCTACCGGTCGCAACGGAATTATCCCTCGTTGTAGCACACGATTAGTGAAATTATCCCTCGCTTAACGGTATTAGTAAATAGAGCTCGCACTATGGATTCCTTGCTATTACCCAATCCACTCAATTCGGTTACCAAACCGTATCAATTCAAGACTCAATGATTTTTCTCAATTTATTTCCACCCCCAATGCACATGATACACGTGATGACATGTTTAATCACATTCAACCAAACTCGGGTACCGATCCTTCTTTCTCAAGTCATACTCACGGTCCGATCATCACTCGGGATTCACTCGATGCTCACATACCAATCATGGTACTCATAGCGGGAACACAACCTCCGCTCATTAATATTATTCATTAGTTTCATTAATAATTAAAGAAGGTCCAATTCTTTTTTTTTTTAATTTTCTCTATGAAAGAATAAATTTTCTTTAAAATTTTAAAATCCTTTTTATTTCTATCTAAGTCCACTTATTTTAGCCTAAGCCCATTTTCGTTAGTTTAAGCCCATTTACTTTAAAACCAAGCCTTTTGATTTTAATCCAAGTCCATTACCAAGTTTATTTTATTTAAGTCTAAGCCCATTAACATTAATCCAAGCCCAAATCTATTTGTTTTAATCTAAGTCCACTTTATTTTTAAATCCAAGCCCATCTCATTTTAACTCAAGTCCAAACCCATTAACATTAATCCAAGCCCATTTATTTTAATCCAAACTCAAGTCCATTTGTTTTAATTTAAGTCCACTTTATTTTTAAATCCAAGCCCATTTATTTGAATCCAAGCCCAAGTCCATTTTTTTTAATCTAAGTCCACTTTATTTTTAAATCTAAGCCCATCTCATTTTAACTCAAGTCTAAGCCTATTAACATTAATCCAAGCCCATTTATTTTAATCCAAGCCCAAGTCCATTTGTTTTAATCTAAGTTCACTTTATTTGTAATTCCAAGCCCATCTCATTTTAATTCAAGTCCAAGCCCATTATCATTAATCCAAGCTCATTTATTTTAGGTTAAAAATTTTTCAACGAGTGGTACACCTAAATAACCTATACCAAATCAGCCATAACTCCTTAAATATATATATCTAAAACTCACAACAGTTTAAGGGGAGATATTAGAAATATAGATAAACAATTTTTATTCTTTAAGTTTCCTCCAAAAATCATTCTAAAATCCTTAAATAAATCACACAAGTTTTGGAACTAAATAAACATTTCCAGTAGTTGGTCCATTCAATGATCCGTACTAAATCAGTCATAAATCCTTACATACAGATCTAAAAATAACGAAATTTTATATATATCTATTAGATACATAGATGAACAACTTTTCTTCTTTGAGTTCTGCCCAAAAACCACTCTATGATCCCGAAATAAATCACGCAACTTTCGAAATGAAATATTTTTCCAGTAGGTGGTCCATTCGAATGATGCATACCAAGTCAATCATAACTCCATATATATATTTCTAAAAGTCACAAAATTTTAAAGAGACATAGTAGACACATATATCAACAACTTTCATTCTTTACATGTTTTCTAAAAATCAATCTAAGATCCTGAAATAAATCACACCAAGTTCATGTTTTTCCACCCCTAAAATCCAAAAATCTACTCTTAAAGCACATTTCTCATCACACATGCATAACCATCTATCATCAAACATCAAGTGTTTAAAGTCATCACAAAATACCATAATCACATTTTACATGAATTAACAACTCATAAAATAAACACGGAAGGCATAAACAAAGCAAGAAAAAAATGAAACTTACTTACTTTGGATTAACTTTCCTAAAATCTCTTTGGCTTCCTTTTAGTTTCCCTTTCTCTTTCCTTTCTTTTCCCCTTCTCTTCCTTCCCTTTTTTTTTCTCTTTCTCCCCTCTCTTTCACTCTTTCTTTCTTGGCTTTAAGGAAGCTACGGGATGCACCAAAAAATGCATCCTTATCCCATTTTTTTAACTTAAATATCTCATCTAATCTCATCCATTTAATGTTTATTACAAGTGTCAAGAGCTTGTGGTGAAATGCAAGGTAAATGTGGCAGAAAATAATGAAAAGATGGGTTTAAATTTCAAGGAGGAATAGGTGATGACCAATGAAAATTTGTAGAAAGTAGGGGCCAAAGTGTGATTAAATGAGGGTAATTAAATTAACTATATTTTCAGAATTCCTCCCAAAATTTCGACAATTAGCACTTTCTTTCTTTTTTTTTTAATTTATACTTATTCCATATAAAAGAAATTTTCTAACTAATTTACCCAATGTTTTTTTTTTTTTTTAATATTGATGTACACCAATTACTCTCAATAAATACGTACATACCACATATTCCAAGTACATATGTTGACTCGGTTACAGATTTTCACATACGTAACCGATATACTATATATATACGTACGAATATAAATATCTCGATACGTACACTTATACGATTACGGATTTTACGAGGGTTACATTTCTCTCCTCCTTAAAAGAAATTTTGTCCTCGAAATTGACCTATTTGAATAATATCGGGTATTTTTTCTCATCTCTTCCTCCAGGTTCCCACGTCATTTTTTCACGATCGTGATTCTCCCACATAACTTTAACTAGCCTAATCTCCTTATTCTTCAACTCGTTTGACTTGACTATCCAAAATGCTGGACTGGTTTCTCTTCATACGTCAAGTCGGGGGTAAGGTTCGGTATAACTGTCTTCAAGATTTGGCTAGGTTCTCCAACATACGTCCTTAGCATAGAAACATGAAACACATTATGCACACCCACTAAGGATGATGGTAGCAACAAACGATATGCTTTATCGCCTACTCGATCCAATGATTCGAAATGACCCAATGTATCGGGGACTCGAGCCTTCCCTTTCTTTCCAAATCGTAGCACATCTTTCATCGGTGAAACCTTTAGGAACACATAATCACCAATTTTGAATTTTAGATCTCTTCGTCTTTTGTCGACGTAGCTTTTCCGTCTGCTTTGAGCTATTTTTAGTCGTTGATGGATTTTATCCACTCGTTTCGATCGTTCTGTCGTAC